CGGAAATCTTTACTGTTGGAGAACGTATAACTTCCAGAAATCACCTCAGAAGATATAACAAAGAACATTTTTTCCATCATCACCAACTTTCCTTATCATAATTTTATTGAGCCTCTCATGAATGAGACGCCGTTCGATGGCAGCTCACATGGGGTTTTCCACCGTATCATGGCGTTGGCTCCGCTCGAACACTTCGGGCGTTGTCTGCCAAACATCCCTGAACCTCTTCGATCCCCAACTCTGTCCGCTGCTCATCCATCTTGACGACCGATCATCTCCTGCTAAAGCTAACGCCATCTTTGCAGAAACAATAAAAGCTGTGAACAAATGAAAATGCTTCTATTTGACCTTATATTGATAGATTATAAGAATAATAACTTGTAGCTTATAAACGACCAACGTTTGTACAGTTGAATACACGGTTATTTCTTGATAATATGAAAACTTCCTTCATCTTCTCTCATATAGAAGCTGATATATTAACTCCCTTCATCTTCTCACGTATAGAAGCTGATATATTCTTTCTCAGTTGCATGTAGTTAATTGTTAAGTCTTTCGGTGAGTCACCGGAATTCCACATGGTATCAAACAGATAATTAGAAAATTGTACTTGCTTTTTTTCTAATTATTAGGATCCAAGAATCTATGGCTACTTCATCGCCGACTGTAATGTAAAAGAAACGATTCCTGCTTGAAATAATGTGTCTAATGGTAAGAATAATACTATCACAAATATTACACATTTAAATTTTTTATTTATTTTAAGTAGAGACGATCCTTTTATTCTATCATAATTATTTTAAGTTTTTATATCTATAAATTAGACTTATATAATAAATTGATCTATCTTGTATAATAAATTATTTTAAGCAGTCTCTAGTGTTTGAACTTAAGACTTCTAAGGATTATAATCATCCATTCAATTATTGAGATAGATTTATTCGTGCATTTAAATGTAAAATTTAAAATAAAAACTTAATTAGCATGGCATTTCATTTAAAAACTCATTTAATTATAACCTATTTTGATCGATGTCAATTTATTATATAAGTTATAAAGTATATAAAAGAAAATATATTTGGATGATATCGTAGACGATTTATCTCAGTCTTACGCTTTATTTAACATATTGGATGTTAGGTGGGATGATGAAAAATCTAAATTCAATTCGATTTGATTGGGTTCAATTCAATTCATTTAAAACTCATTTAATTATCACCTAATTTGATCAGTGTCAATTTATTATATAAATTATAAACTATACAAAAAGAAAAAAAATATTTGGGTGATATCGTAGATGGCTCGCCTCAATCTTACACTTTATTTAACGTATTAGATGTTAGGTAGGGATAACAAAAAAAATCTGAATTTAATTCGATTTGATAGAATTAAATTTCTTATAAAACTTAGATTTTAAGTTCAATTTCCTTTAACACTAGTTGATTTGGAATTGATAGAATCACGTTTTGGCGAAGAATTGTATCCAACAATCGATTAACGATCAACTGGTAGTGTGTAGATGTTGGTTGAGGTGGATTAAAGGTGAAATACATCCTAATTTACGAGAAAAAAGGTTATCATTTTCCTTATTTGTTATAAGAGTTTATACATTGACTCCGAACTTAATCTTCTTGCATTCTTGTGACATGCTTAGAATCATGATTGATTTGTATAGGTTTAGAATGTGTTAGATGGGCGATGAATGGTGTGATAAGAGTCATTAACATGCTTCAACAAACTTCTTCAAACGACTCTAATCCACCTTCTAAGAATTGATTTTTGATAAATCGAGTGGGAAAGATGAATCCCCAACAATCTATCAAAGACATTGAGTAGAAACACCTCTAAAAGACACAAAAATCACTAGCTTGCGACATAAAAACTCAAAGAATATTTTATTGAATAAATCAAAGAGAAAAAAAAAGGATATCCTTCAATGTGTTTAACCACATGCCTTATATAGGCAAGGAAATGCTCACATAGACTTGGTAAGAATATATAATTAATGCATCTCTCTTAAAAATATGGAATCTATTATCTCTTAAGAACATTTTGTCCAAGTTTAAGTGTTTTCCTCTAATTAAATAAATTATTTATAAATTAAAATAAAGATTATAAAAATCTCTTATTGGATTGGTTGAATTTGATCAATTTATAGAATAAGATTGAACTGGATTTTCATTACATGAATTGAAGGATTTTATGTTCATCATTGGATTGGACTTGTATGCTCATAAATGTATTCCAAGTTGTTGTATTCTCCAAAAACGGGACTGTTTCTCTCCTTGGCATCTAAATACTTTAAATCTCCGGCATAAAATAAGGGTTATTTGATAAAATAAAATGATCAAGTGATAAATGATTCAATGGCCTGAATGATTCAAAGGGTATGTATGAATTGACTCTGTATGTGACATGTTGTTTATAATGGTTCTGAATGTACAATCTAAATTATGAATATTTTCATTTTTACCTTCATAATGATTTATTATATTATAAGATATGATTGTTTAATAAGACAACATGTGAAAAAATATGTATTATGGTAAAATATCAGGTACTTAATGATTCAGAATGTACTTTAATGCTGAATCATTAAACAATGTTTTGTTGTTTCATTCAACATAGTCTTCATTCAGAGGTGAGAATCAAACACGCTGAATGCTGAACGGTTCAACATTCAGCGCTGAATGGTTCCATTCAGCAATAAACAAACAGCCCCTAAATGATTATAATTTTGGGTCACTTAAAAGTCTATATTTTCCAAAAGAGCTTGGAAACCTTTGCTCACAAAGTCTTGAACCACCAAAAACATCTTAGATTTGATTTGTGCTGATTTGGATATTGTAACGAGTCATTGTAGCCAACTCAACGCATCATGTCCTAGAGCTGGATTTTGAGCCTTGATGCTTGCATCAACTAGTCAAATCGGACGATCATCGGAGGAGATCGGAGGATTAACATGTTAAACCTTTAAATGGATTTTCGTCGATTTTAAGTGAGTTTCGTGAAAAATCAATCTTAGGAGAAGAAAGATGAGTGAAATGCTAACATTTTGATATTGATCTTGTTGTGAAAAACATCGGTGATTGAAAACGATTGACTACCAACAACGACTAAAAAGTTTAATGCCAAAAACTAAATTTTTTTAAAGTTTAGGGACAAAACCGATATACCTCCTAAAATTATGTATATAAAGTGATGTCGTTTTGGACATCAATAGTCGAACCAAAATAATACCATTTTATCCACATCATCACTATAACAGAAAGATCCGATCATATCATCGTGTAGTTAAAATTTAACCATCCAATAACATAATTGAAATTAAAACTAAATTTTAATGTTATAATTAAACAAATAAAAAAGCGAATAATATAAATAAATAATAATACACTACTAAAATTTTAATGATATCTGATATAGTTTACTCAAAAAATTAAGATTATTGTACTCGGTAAGAACCTTAGTTCTAAATTAGCCTTAAGAGAGTCGAGGATAATAGGAAGCCTCGAGAAGCCTATTGACAGAAAGATAATAAATTTTAAGATTATTCCAATAATTGTGTACCGTCCGTAAAAGGACATGGCAGGCTGTAAAGTGAAGAACGAGGAGTTTATGACTCATATCCTACTAGATGCTGACAACGCTTTCACATGCAAATGGTTTCCAAAATTACATTAAATTTATTCATATATATAATATTATTTAAAAACTTTATCTACAATACTTATAAAAAATGCGAGTAGGTAGAATTTTTTAATAAATTAAAATATTTTCATTTTTAAATATATTGTTGATTTAGCATTAAAATTATATTTATAATTAAATAAAAAATGATTATTTTAAATAAAAATTTATATGGATAGAAATTCATTCATACATAAAATTAATTAACACATTTTAATATATTATTAATTTTATATTTAAATAAATATTTAAAATTTTAATAATAATTTGATGTCTATGTGAATAAAACTTTTATAGAACATATACGACACATGAATAGAAATATTATATATCAATAAATTTAGAATGTTATAATTATAATTAACTTATACAAGTCCAAATAGGGCTCTAGATGTTTAACTATTTTAGTATTTGAAAGAGTTTTATTTTAAATTAAAGATATATTGTAAATAAAACTTTAATTACGACTTTTATTTCTCCTAGTTTACTTAGAATCGTATTTATTATTATTTTATTACATTCCTAGTTTGGGTAAAAGTTGATGTAGAAATTTCTTAAAAAGAATAAGAAGTTCAATAATGATATTTACAATGGCAATAAAGAGAATTTAATCAATGACGATATAATATAAAATTATAAAATTTTTATTTTTTAAATATTATGAAATAATTATAAAGTAATATATGATCAAGATTCTTTTTATTCGTTGATTATACATACATACTCTATAAATATAAATGTTCTAATTAAATTATTTTAAAAAATTAACATTATCAAAATTTAGTCACATAAAACTCACATATAAATTTAGTAACAAAATTTTGGTATACAATATAATAATACAAATTAAAGTGCTGGAACAGTGACCACTCATCCAATCAAAATCTCCGAAAGTTTTGGCAGTTTAGCGACTTAAATGTCATGTCAACATATCAAGTTGGTCCAAATGGAGATAATAATATAAATATAAAAATAAATATTATTTTATAATATCTCAATATATTATTTTTTAATAAATTTTAAATTTAATTTTGTCTAAAGGTGAACAAAGATCAACAATTTAATTAACATGTAAGATATATTTGTTTATCTTTTATTGACCTATAGAATATTATTTATTATTGAATACGTCACTTACTATAAAATTAAATAGGAATTTGACTGACTGTAATATTCTTTTTAATCTTAATCACTAAAGCATCCTCTTGTTCTGTTTTTACAGCACCGAAAATTACCAAGTTACCGACGTGTAAATTATTCAGATTAACGAACTTCTTTTTTGCCTATATATACCCATCACATTCCACACATTTTGTGCCATATTAATATTTTCTTATTAGACAAAAGCTAAAATCTCCTTTTGTCTTGTCTCTCCCTTCTATGGCAACAAGAGTTCTCTCATCGCCGAACTTCCTCAAGAACCTCCGCTCCTTCATCAGGCCTTTCAACTCCGCCTCCTCCTCCGCCGTTTCTCCCCTCAATTTCGACGAAAAACCTGAACTTTCCGCCGTCGAGAAATTCCACCCAACAACAACAACAACAACAACCCCACTTGACTTTGATGATCACCAAAAGCTTTTCACTTCAGTTTCGTCATTGAAGCTTTTACGTTCGTCGGTCAACCTCGGGTTGGCTTCCAACGAGACGTTTGTCGATTTCGGGATGTGGGTTATGAATTCCCGCCTCATCGAAACGCCTTTGGTACGCGATGTCATATTGAAAACTGTAAAACATACGTTCTTCGAACATTTCTGCGCCGGTGAAACCCCGGCGGAGGCCTCCGAGTGTTTGAGGAAAATCCAGGAGGCCGGTTTGCGAGGTATGCTCGTTTATGCCGTGGAACACACCAGCGGCAACGCCGGTTGTGATCAGAATTTGGAGGGTTTTTTGCAGAGTGTTGAATTCGCAAAGTCGCTTCCACCTTCATCTGTAAGTTATTGTTTTAAGATTTCATTCATTTTTTCCCCAGATTGAGACGATGAACATATTAAATTTCCCAGAAAATTACAGAAACATGAAATCAACGGTCAAGTTTATAACTAAGTTTTGAGCTATTCAAATGGTGAATTGTCTCCCAACACGTTAACCTCAAATTCTAAAATAAGTTGCAGAATATTCAAAGGAAAGAACATTTCAAGTATGAAGGTTTAATCAATTGGTTTAAATCCAACTTGAGGTTCAAATATAATTCTTATTTTTAGTGTTTTTATAACAATTTATTTTAGCGTTTTTAAACTCATAAAGAAAAAAGAGAGACAAGAATGTATAGTTACGTTATCTAACTATAGTAGAAGTGTATTCGCATTGGGAGATGTGACATTAGGGTTAAGGAAGCTATTTTTAGGAATAATGTATGATTTTATGTTAAATATTGAACTTATAAAAATTTAAAATGAAATAAATTTATAAAATTTTAAAAAAGTAAATAAATTATCAATAAAATTTATAATGAAAACATATAAAACAAAATATATATATATATGAAAATTTTAGAGGGCGACCTTTCGTAACCCCCTTGGGTCCATCGCAATTATCTTGAGTGTATTATTTTGTATTTAAAAGATCATATCTTAGATCTTTTGAGAGTTGAAATGTTTTTTAACTATTAATTTTAATATGTTAATCAATTAATATAAATTAAATATTATAAATATTTATTCAAAAATTTCATCACGTTTTGGAAGTGTTCATTCTCCAAGATTTTAGATTACTATTAATAGTATTTATTTATTTATATTAAAAAAAGCAAACGAGTCGATTTTAAGACAGATAAACTACAGTTTGGAGTGTAACGGAGAAAGTTACGATAAAAAAAAAGTGAACGGTGGGAGATTTGACAGCTGTCCGTTTTGTAGCTGCAACAATGAAAACTTGTTTGAATAAAGTTACAACTTTTAATATATAATGTTTTAAGGAAAAGATTCCAACATTTAAGGAAAGGGGGACTGTTTCCACTGAATCTGCAAGTTGAGGTTAACATGTAAGAATTGACCCAATGTTCAAAAGTTTCATACTTTTTGGACGTTGAACATTCCACGAGCTTTACAGCTTGATTACAGTTTGAAAATGCACAAATTTCTACAGCCGCCATTAATGGAATCAAGATTCAAATTGAATGGTATTTATTTTAGTTTAGTTTAACTTGTTCTTATATTTGCTGCAAACTTCCTTCAAACCCTTTTGAAATATTGATTTCTTTCTTTGACTTGTTCTTATCTCATTTTTTGTTTAATCATCGATAATTTTTTCTATTAATCGATTATTAATAATCAAGTTTTATAAAAGTCTATTATGAATATGACTCTCTTAATTCAATTTATTCCGTAAATTATGATTCAAATTCTAAGAGACTTGGTGCATTATCCCACTAGAACAAGTGATTGTTGATTTCTTATCTCATTTAATACTACATTTGGTTTAATCGTCAGTATTTTATCTATTGATAAAATATTTTGGATAGAATTTTACAAAAATCTATTATGAAAATGATCATCCTAAATTCAGTTTGTTCCATTCAATAATTTTGATCTTACTTAAAGAATTTAATCTTTAATGTCTTATTATATTATAGTAGAATCTACGGTTGGTTTCTTATCTCATTTAATATTGAATTTGGTTACATGATTGTATAGGTAAGCTCGGTGGTGGCAAAGATAACTGCAATATGCCCCCTTGGGCTGCTAAGGAGAATTAGTGACCTATTGAGGTGGCAATACAAAGACCCTTCATTTACCCTCCCATGGAAACTCAACACTTTGCCAATTTTCACAGACTCGAGTGCTTTATATCACACACTCCAAAAACCCCACCCATTAACCCCTCAAGAAGAATCGGATCTTGAATTGGCTCACCAAAGACTCCTAAAACTCTGCCAAAAATGTGCACAATACAGTGTCCCTTTAATCATCGATGCCGAGGACACATCCATCCAACCCGCCATCGATTACTTCACCTACTCATCGGCAATCGTCTACAACAAACACGACCCTATTGTTTATGGCACCATCCAAGCTTACTTGAAAGACGCGAGAGAGCGGCTGTTTAACGCCGCCAAAACGGCTGAGAGTCTCGGGATTCCGATGGGGTTTAAGTTGGTGAGAGGCGCTTATATGTCGAGCGAAACCAAGTTGGCTTCTTCGTTTGGGTTCGATTCCCCGGTCCACAACGGCATCCAACAAACCCATGCTTGCTTCAATGACTGTGCTTCGTTTATGCTCGAGAAAATTGCGGATGGATATGGCGGACTCGTTCTCGCAACTCATAATCTTGAGTCAGGTACAGTGTTAAAACTCGGAAAAAATTCTCTATTCATCTGGAAACAATGGTTTTGATGGAGAACTGAAAATATGGTTTTGATGAAACAGGGCAATTGGCAGCATCAAAAGCACGAGACCTTGGGATTGAAAAGGGGAATCGAAAGCTTGAATTTGCACAGTTATATGGAATGTCGGAAGCGTTGTCGTTTGGTTTGAGAAACGCAGGGTTTCAAGTAAGCAAATATTTACCATATGGACCAGTTGATATGGTATTGCCATACCTTTTAAGGAGAGCCGAAGAGAATAGAGGACTATTAACCACTTCAAGCCTCGATAGATTACTCATGGGGTAAAGTATTAAGCCATTTAATCCACACTGTTCGATGAAAGAGTTCCTAAAACCACGTATATATATTAATATATACGTGATCACGCTAAAAAATATTTTTGAATCCCTTACTAATTTAGTTTTTTCTTTTATGAAATTTTGTGCAGGAAGGAGTTGAAGAGAAGATTAAAGAGCCTGCAATTTGTCAAGTCAGGGATGATGGCTTCTGCAGGTAGCATGAAGATAGAAATAGGGACCCCGTGATAATGGTTATGTTTGGGGATGGGTGATTTGAGATTGCACAATTCTTGCCAATAAATGTAGAAAGTGAAAAATAATAATTATTGTAACATTGGCCTATGCCACATTTCAATTCATATTTTGGATTAGAAATTTATGTTGTTACTAAATGTGAATGTGCTTTCATCTTCTATTCTTAAGAGGTTACTTGTCTTCTTATATATCTTTTTTTTCTTCTTATAATTCTAACCTTATAAATAATAATTTTGTCAAAATAATAATAAATTTAAAGTTGCATGGATCAAGCTACTTCAACGATTAAAAGGATAATTTTTATTTTTAGAGGTCCTAAGTTCGAGCTTCAAAGACTACAATTATGAAAATTTTTAGAATATAAACTATATTCTAATCCATCTTAGATTAATAAATAAATAAATAAATTGAAAGTAGGGTTGAAAAATTGAATGATTTTGAATTAGGGTAGATTTAGGTCACCTCCTAAAAGTTTATTTAGATATTTTTTAATATTTTTAATTAATAATTTATTTTCACCGGTGCTAAAATCGGAACAACAAGAGATGTATCACGGAACATTGAATTTAGAACAGCCATGCCATGTGCATTTCTCATAGATTCTAATGCAATTAATTATTCGATTCCACCACCAAGGAGCTTGGATTCCTCTGTTTATGCCAAATATCTCTCCTTATTTTATATTATCTTCTTCAATCTCCTTTTGACAAAAAAGAAAAAGGAATCTGAATCAACAAAAGTTGGGTGGGATCTTCAACAGCCTCCGTTGTTGATTTCCTTTCATTTTCCACTAATAAATCGCTGCACATCATCATCATTAATCCATTATTTTTCAATTTTTGTGATTTAAGGTAGAAAAGTTTTATTCCATTATTTCTGACCATCTATATAAAAATTTTATGTGAATAATATATATGTGTGTTCACATTCAAAATATTTTACATATGTAACTAAATACATACATATTCCTATCACAAATCAAAACATACCACACATGGTCATAATCTGAAGCTTAGCAATTTGCGTGGTCATAACCTCAAGCTTAGCAATGGTCACAAAACAACCACACATTATGTTCAAAATAAGATAAAAAGTCTCAAATTGTTAATCTTCATGCATTTACAAAGAAAATTATTGTTAGATATTGAATATTGAGTATGGTTTGATTAACGTGGATCGTTGGTTTTTACATTAGTTTTGAGGAAAAGGTTGATTATCGTTTGATTTTGACTAATAGCAACAAAGGAACGGGGGTTGTGATTTCCACATCAGCTGCTTTTATCTCTTATTTCAGGATGAGAATTGTTTTAAACTTACACGCAACTTAATATTAGTTTACTACCAATAATCAATTGATATAATAAGATGAGACATTAAATCAATTAATTAAAATTAGGAGTTCAAATTCTGATATTTAATTTAGATTGGTCGGTTCACTCTTATAGTAGACCTCTATAAAATTCGATCTTAAATCATATATCAATTGACCCATAATAGATCTTTTCTTCTTAAACTTGAACACTCTACACCCATTCCCCTAGCCAACAAGAGATGCAAGAGTTATAAATCACTTGGGATGTTGCAGAAGAACTCAAGAACGAATTTAATGTTAAAAGGAGACATGGCAGAAGTTCTTACCATCCACCTTCATCCAAAAGTTAAGGAGAGAAACGAAGAGAGGAAGTGTGAAGAAAGAAGGAAGAGAAGACAAAGAAGAGATGACAACCCTCTTTTCCCAAAACCCCTATATGATATCATCCATAATACCTAAAAATCAGTCTTAAATTTTAAAAATGATATTAAATTTTAAAAATGATATAATTATACTTTTAATCTCTCTTATTTTGTCTTCTATGTAAAAATCTCCTTTTTTATGGCCATTTGACCTTAATCCTAACCCAAACAAGCCCAACCTTGGCTCAATGCTTCTTAATAGACTATTAGGTTCATCCAAAACCCACTTCGATCAACTTGAAACTACAAATATGAAATTCGAGATGTTATATTTTAAAATAAATAAAAGTTTGGGTATTAAAATAAAATAAAATTTATAGTTTATATATTAAACGTATAATTTGCACTAATTTATATTATCACTAATATTAGTAGAGGAAATCTAAATTTATTTTATTTTTCAAAAATAGTTTTTTTTTCTAAATTAATCACTGATATTCGATCTATTAACTGACTAATTCAAATCAAATTTTATAAATATCCATTATAAGAATGACCCTCATAATCCTGTTTATTCCGTCTACAAGCATAAGAGTTTAAACCCCTAATAATATTTAAATAATCTAGTTTGTCATTCTACTGAATCAATTAATTATATTTTTAAAATGTTTTTTTTTAAAATTCTAACTATTTATCTAAGGGAAAAAGAAAGAAAAGGAAAAAAAATAGCATTGCTTCCTCGTTTTTTGTTCCTTTCCGTTGTTGTTAGAGTCAACGTCGTACCCCATAAGACGAAAACACACACAAAGCAAAAATAAAGATTCACACCAGATTTTGCCCACTACCTGATCTGTTTTCCCAGCTTCAACCTAACAATGGCTATTCAATCAATTCTCAATGCGAACCCAGTTCCCATCTTTACTTCTTCAACCATTTCCAGCAAAGGTAACCACTTATTTCATCTCTTCCCTATGAATACCCCATGTTTTAATTTTTACTGTGAAACTAGAGGATGGAATATGAATGTCCATGTTCTTCTTTGTTATGCTTGAGTTTCCCTATATGCTAAAATTACTGTAGTTTTTTTTCCTTCCATTTCCTGTGAAAGTTATTATGGTTAAAATGAAAAAAAATATATGAAATATGCATCTTTGTTTGGGGGTGTGGTTTAATCAAGTGCTCTGATTACAGGCCTATTTGGGGTAATTTCCTGTGTTTGCTTGTATTTAGTGAACTTGGGGAGGATTTCTAATAGAGTTTATAAAGATGACCTCGTTAGGAGATCGTTCGAGTTGAATCTAATCCGATTTAAATATAAAAAGTTAAAAGTTCATGCCATTTGACCTGAATATGAATTATGAACATGAAATGACTTGTTATACCCAAATAGAAAATGACTCAAGCTTTTGATATTCTCTATTTGAAATGACTAAATTTAACGATCCGAAATGTTTCATTCGAAAACTTTTGCTGTGCGGTGGCTTACTTTAAAAGTTAATTTAAGGTGATTTCAACTAAAGATATTATATCGTGGAGGTTTTAAGGTTTACAATTGAAAAAGTTAAAAATTAATGCCATTTGATTTGAATATGAATTATGAACATGAAATTACTTGTTAGATCCGAATAGAAAATGACCCAAACTTTTGATGTTTCGTATTTGAAATGACCCGAAATGATTCATTCCCCAACCCTAACTTGACCGCATGCTTTCGAGTTTGGTATCTTTCAAGTCTGGTTGTTTAGTGTTTGAATTTTATGGGTTATGTTAGCAGATTTTCATGTTTGGTTTCATTTTACCACCTCTATCTTCAAATGCTTCAACTTCTCATATATTTCAAGTTCGATTCTCGACATGCCAATCCCTTGTACCAAATTCAAGTTACAAGTTAGATAGTTGAATGCAATTTCCTTATGTCCAGTCATGAAGGTTGAATTCAATATTTTATGTTATGAGTGAACTAATAAAATTCTAGAGGACGAAAATATATTATTAATAAAAATAACAAAGAAAATATCTAAAATATATAATAATTTAAAATTTTCAAGAGGGCGACTATCCCAATTCCTTCAGTCCATCTTTGCTTAGGGCTAATCCTTGTCTATAATATAAAATTGCATTTTTTATATAAGAGAAGTACCTTCTAATTCTTTAATGACAAAATATCAAAAAGTGCTCATAACATTTGATTAAATAGTCACTTTGGTCTTATTTTTTGTTTGAAGTATTTTAACTTTTTATTTTAGGGCAAAAAGACTCCTAAAATTTGACTAATAGTCACTTTTACTCCTATTCTTTTTTTTTTGGAGTATTTTCCCCCAATATCTCATTTTAGGACAAAAGACCTATATTTTTGGAGTGTTCACCGTTTGTTTGGTAACAATCTTCATCCTATATTTTTCTTAAAATGAAAGTTGGAAGTCAAAATGCTAAATAAAAGAATATGGACCATAATGATTATTTATTCGAACGTTAACAATATTTTTTTGAAATTATACGTTTTTATTGTGATCTGATATTGCTTTGCCCTTATGCCTCTTGACTACTTGTACATCTTTAGGAGACGAGCCATGGCTCGGATGTTGTATGCTTAAAAGAAAACAAATGCACATAAGGCTTTCGAGTGGCTACAAAGTAAGAGCAAGGTCAGCTATAAATGTTGCTTCTACAGCAATCGACATTCCTCGTCAATGGTACAATCTGGTTGCGGATCTATCCATAAAGCCTCCACCTCCATTGCATCCCAAAACTTTCGAGCCGGTTAAACCAGAAGATTTGTCTCCTTTATTTCCTGATGAATTGATTAAGCAAGAGGCTACCAATGAAAGGTTTGTCGATATCCCGGAAGAAGTTATCGATGTTTACAGACTCTGGCGCCCGACCCCTTTAATCAGGTACTTCTGAACCGAAGGCTATGTATTTCGAGATATTTTCGATGTTTCGGAGATGTAATGTCTTTGTTTGAACATAGAGCAAAGAGGTTGGAGAAGCTTTTAGATACACCTGCAAGGATTTATTACAAGTACGAAGGTGTAAGCCCTGCTGGATCACATAAACCGAACACTGCTGTTCCACAAGTTTACTATAACGCACAGCAGAATGTCAAGAATATTGTGACCGAAACCGGTGCCGGCCAATGGGGTAGTTCGTTGGCCTTTGCCTGCAGCTTATTTGGTCTTGGATGTGAAGTAAGAATCATGAGTTCTTCATTCGAATTTTCGTTTTGAATTCTTCACTTGTAAAGCTATGGAAATCTTTCCATTTGAAATTTTCTGCAGGTGTGGCAAGTTCGTGCTTCATATGATCAGAAACCATATCGGAAATTGATGATGCAAACATGGGGTGCAAAGGTTCATCCTTCACCATCGAACATTACCGAAGCAGGTCGTAAAATACTCCGAATGGATCCGTCCAGCCCGGGAAGCTTAGGGATAGCTATTTCAGAAGCTGTAGAGATTGCAGCTGCAAATGATGATACAAAGTACTGCCTGGGGAGTGTTCTCAATCATGTTTTGCTACATCAAACTGTGATCGGGGAGGAGTGTATTCGGCAAATGGAAGCCATCGGAGAAACCCCGGACTTAATCATCGGGTGTACTGGTGGTGGCTCGAATTTTGCAGGACTTAGTTTCCCATTTATAAGAGAAAAGCTCAAGGGAAAAATCAATCCTGTTTTTCGAGCAGTCGAACCTGCGGCTTGTCCTTCATTAACGAAAGGTGTCTATGCATACGATTTTGGCGATACCGCGGGGATGACTCCATTGATGAAGATGCATACACTGGGGCATGACTTCATTCCAGACCCGATTCACGCCGGTAATGTCACCAGTGATTAGCATTTAGATCTTTCAGAGGTTGATCCGTTTAAATTCTTCTATTTTTGATGCATTTTTTCATCCTACAGGTGGCTTACGTTACCATGGTATGGCACCTTTGATTTCACACATCTATGAATTAGGCTTCATGGAAGCGATTTCGATTCCACAAACCGAGTGCTTTGAAGGTAGGTTCATTCCTCCGGAATCAATAACCGGCAACGGACATCTAAATCCATAAGAATCATAACATTGATCGAATATTTGCTAGAAGGAAGTGATGAGAACTTGAATCAGTTAGATTGTTTTTGTGGTAATGGATACAATGTTTCGTTGCAGGTGCAATACGATTTGCTCGATCAGAAGGGCTAATTCCGGCTCCGGAACCAACTCATGCAATTGCAGCGACAATCCGGGAAGCTGTTCGTTGCAGAGAGAGTGGGGAATCGAAGGTGATTTTGATGGCAATGTGCGGGCATGGCCATTTTGATTTGGCATCTTATGAGAAGTATTTGCAGGGGAGAATAGTTGACTTGTCATTTGAAGAGGAGAAAATAAAAGAATCATTGGCTAAAGTTCCTCAAGTGCTGCCATAGTTTAAACATTCATTTATATTGAAAGTTTTAGGGTAAACTGCACATTTAGTACTCTAACTATCACTTTTATTCTTCTTTAGTCACCCAACTATTATATTTTTCAAAACCATGACTAAAATTACGTTTTGATTCTATTTTGATTACCCGTCGTTAAAATTTGACATAATTGTTGACTTGTTATTTTTTTCAATGATGACATAACATTGCCTTATGGTGACACATCACTATCACCGTTAATTTTTAACGGTGGGTGACCAAAATAAAACCAAAATGTAACATTATGTATCAATTTGAAACAAAAAGTAATTGAGTGATCAAAACGGAACAAAGATGATAATTGGGATACTAAATATGTAGTTTATCCAAAATTTTAATATAATAGTTCGAGCACCATGAATATCAGGGGTATAAACATTCAATGTCAAATGGTTGAAAGATATCTTTAAACAAATAATATATTGTACTTATCCCGGATTAATAAAAAAATAATAATACATATCGTTGAAATTAACGTTATGAATTTAAAAAGAATTTCAGGAACATAAGTGCATATTTATTTTTCTATAATATAATATAAATTTATATAATTATTTTAAAATATTATTGATAAAACACTGTAATATTCTAAAGAGAACCAAGGCAATTTATACAATGATGATATGTTAGATTAAGAGAGGTTTTAATTATTCAACAAAAGTAAAATAAATATTCTAAGTTTCCTTTGCTTTTTATATTATATTTGTTTCTAATTATTTATTATATGATTGGGTGCATCTTTTGTTAATGGTACTTTTTATATTTATCTAATTGATAATTTATGTAATTTCGAATTAAGGTTGAATAAAAATTTCCACGACCTTACCATAAATATGGAAGATATTTCTTCTTTCCACTTGTATTTTACAGATGTTCTGTTTATTTATAAAGGTCGGGTTTTATTTTTTTTTTTTTGAAAAATGATGATTTTATCATTTTCGGTTCAATACAATTTGTGAACTTTATAGAAAGTATGCTTATTTTTTATTATTAAAGAAAATTCAATTATTAAAGAAAATTCAATTATTAAAGAACAAAAAGCCAAAAGACATTTTGGTTATATTCGAAGCCTACTAAATTATGCTTATATATATAATTTCCAAGTCTTCGGAAAAGCTTGGTGGGTTAAGGGTCTCATCATCAAATGGTTATTGATATAATCTTGTGTTGGTATTCTTCTTAAATTGTTTTTTTGATATAAAAACAGTATGGGGATGCATTGTTTTATCTATTAATAAACTAAACAAAGGTGATATTTGAGTAAAAAATACCTTGAATCGGATGATTTTATACAATGATTAAATTTTGGTTAACAATAAATAGAGTTGGTTTGAGTGATAAATAATTTGATATCGTTTAAGTATGTCTTATGTTCGAGATTTTCTGTACGTAAAAAATTTTTGTTAAAAGATTTATCCATCAAAATCATATATTTGACACAGATTAATCCGTCCGAAGGCAAAAAAAAAAAAAGTTGGTTGACAAACGATGAATATGCTTCCTAACCATATTAAGTAACCCTTTGGTAAAACAAATCTTTCGTGCACGCATATATGCTTGTGTAACCTGCGCTATTTTTCTAAAAGGGAAACAAAAATAATTAAATGAAAATTTGAACTTGAGTCAATAATAAAGGGGTGAAGTCACATATATTTCATATATATATAGTGAACTATAATTAATACAAAATTTAAAATAAAAAAATAAATTGAAGATTTTATATTTTGAATTTAATAATTGATTTATAATGGAATACTTAAATCACTAAAATAAATTTAATAATTGATTTATAATGAAATATATTTCATATATATAGTTAAATATAAGTAATACAAATTTTAAAAAAATAAATGTAAGATTATATATTTTAAATTAAATTTAATATTTTATTTTTTTATATATTGAATATTACATTCTTAAATATTATTAAAACTTTTATACAATGAATATTGCATTTTTTTTTCATTTGGGTGAGGTGACATAATAAATTAATTAAAAAAAATCTTATTTGATCCTTAATTGTTAGGGGTGAGCGTTCGATCGAGTCGAGTCTAAAAATTTTGAGTTATTCGAGTTGACGAGTCTTATTTTATAACTCAGAGTTGACTTGAATTTTTTTTTAGTCAAGTCAAATTTTCGAGTTTATATTTAACTTTAGTTGTAAATATTTATAATATTATGAGATTATTTAATTCTTATTTAAATGATATTTTATAATCATATATATATATATATATATTGTATTTTTTCATGTGTGATTTACATATACCATACAAAGTTAAGGGATTTGACTCAAACTTGAAAATCAATCTACTAATTAGTAAAAATTTTACAACTCGATTTGAACTCGATTTTTTTCGAGTCGAGTTGAGTTTATGAAATTACAACTCGAAGTCAATTCGAGTCGTGTTTTTTCAAGTCGAGTTAAGTCGAAAAAATCGATTTTTAGCTCACCCTTATTAATTGTAACTAAAGTTTTATTTAAAAAATGTTAAATTTGTAATTTTTAAAAATTAAATAACTAAAAATATTATTTTTATTATTGTTTAGTGATCATTTGGAAATTTTATCATATTTTATATCGATTCAAATCGGTGCGTGGATGTGTGGAGTTCACTAGAAACCACCGTCGTGCTCCTTTTGAGTTCTTACTATAAAGATGTACAAATAATATATCTTTGGGCAAAAATTGGTCCTTCAAAACTATTACAATACAAACTACAATGTTATGAGGTTGTTTTGATAAGAAACAAAAGGGGGGGAAACAAAGAAAAAAACATTGGGATTCTTTCATTGTGAATTTGCAGCTCATTTCAGTTTCCCAATGGAAAAATCTGTGGACAAAACAGTTTCCACTAAAGTTTTCATCTTCACCCTTTCACTGATTCTCAGCAGCTCAATCACTTTCAGTTTTCTTAGGAGTTCCCATTCGCATTTGCCTCTGCATCCCCATAATTTTAGACAAAAACTGTGATGTTTTCAAGGGTAAATGGGTGCCTTATCCACAAGGTCCTTATTACAGTAACGAAACCTGTCGGCTGATCGTTGACCAGCACAACTGCATCAAGTTTGGGAGACCAGACACCGAGTTCATGAAATGGAGATGGAAACCGGATGACTGTGAGTTGCCTCGGTTCGACGCAGCACAGTTCTTGGAGTTTGTGAGAGGGAACTCAATGGCTTTTGTTAGGGATTCAGTAGCAAGGAACCAAATGGAATCATTGCTCTGCCTCTTAGCTCATGTAAGTTATTAACGTGAATTTAAATTGAGGTTGCGACTATGTTTTCGATTAACGTTTCATTTATCATAATTATGGACATATGAGTAATAAATTTTGACGTGTTATCTTACAGGAAGCATACCCAGAGGCTATATCTCACAATTCCAAGCGTTGGTTCTATGCTGATTACAACTTCACCTTATAAGCACTTTGGTCTCCATTTTTGGTTAAATCCAGGGCTGCAGACATTAATGGCAATTCCAACAATGGCATCTTCAGCCTCTATCTCGATGAACCCGACGAAGAATGGGCGAATGAGATCGAGAAATTCGACTATTTAATTGTATCAGCCGGGCAATGGTTCTTCCGTTCGATGCAATTCTACCAGAATGGTCAAATTGTGGGATGCTACGCCTGTAACCAAAACAACATCACAAGCATTTCCAAGTACCATGGATACAGAACAGCCTTCCGAACAGCTCTAGGAACCCTTGCAAGCCATAAAAATTACACCGGCACGACGTTTTTACAGCCGTTTTCGGCGGCGCACTACGAGAACGGAGAATGGGATAAAGGAGGGAACTGTGGAAGAACAAGGCCAATTTCGAGCAATGAAAGCAAGATGGAAGAGGTTAACATGGAGTTTTACTTGATTCAAGTGGATGAACTGAGAAAAGCTAAGGAAAAGGGGAAGAAAAGAGGGTTAAGATTTAAAGTGATAAACAGTACTGAAATCATGTGGCTGAGACCAGATGGACATCCAAATCGTTATGGGAAATTCATGAAGAAGAAGGCCACGGTAAATGATTGCGTTCATTGGTGTTTGCCTGGCCCCATTGACACATTGAACGAGTTTTTGCTGTATTTGATGAACTCCATCTAATTTCATCATCTTAGGATTTCTTATATGTACCAAATTTATTTATTTTTAATAAATTTTAGTTCAAGAATAGATAGATCGAGGTAATGGTAAGGATAGTCCTCTCTTGAATTTTTTTTTATTAATCTGAGTAATTATAAGATATTATTTATTATTAATCTGTCTTAATCATTAACATTACACTTTATACACACAATTGCTCGAATTTGAGATATTTAGTATAGAACAACACTCACTTTAACCATTGAGGTCGCTTGATAGTTTAATTTTCAAATGCTCTTATATTTTGTGTATCTTCTATTGATAATCAATTTTTACTTCATAAAATTTTATAAACTCGTTTCTTTCTAAAATTTTATAAGTTTATTTTCTGATACAAAATTCTATGTTCATCCATGAATTTAAGTTTACATTGACATTTACTTCTTTCTAATAATTTTGTATGTATAAATCAACTTAATTTCAATATGTGATGAAAAATATGAATCAAGTTACTTCAATGGTTAGATGGATGAATATTATTTGTAGAGGTTCTAGGTTTGAGTACAAGAGATTACTAGGTATTTAAACATTCGTCGATAAATGATTACGAATCTTTAAAATATATATTACCACTTGTAAGCTTTCTAGATTAATAAAAAAAAATTATGTAATGAAAAGCTTGATTATTTAACTCTTTATTAGATTTGATTGGGTGAAATAAAATAATAATATGTGGTTGTTCAAGCATCCATTTAGATATAAAAATGCCAACGCTTTCGATAAGATGTGATATATTGTTGGTTGTATTATTATTATTATTATTATTATAGATAAAAGATGTTTGGGCTGATATTTATTTTTATTTATAACTAATAAACTAAATAAGGATAACTCCCTATACATCTCAAGAGCATCTTACGCTCTACCAGCAAGCAAGCATTAAATTAAGATATCTCACTATTGTTACAAATTCATTCTATTTCTCATGTATTCCGGTATATTATCCACTCATCGATTAATTAGAATTGAATATTATAGAAATAAAGACGATCTTTTAAACTTAGTTTGCTCCATTTACAAACGTTATGATTTAAATTTCTAGCTTTACTTAAAGGATTTAGTGTCTCATCTCACGGCTAGTTAGTCTATATCTCATATATTAATTATATATAAATTATACAATAATAAAATGATAATATATTATAAAATAAAATTAAGATTAAATTCATTTTTATATTTATTTTAAAACTATCTTAAAATTAATGATCATTCTTTTTTTTATTATCAAAATGGTGCTTAAGATTTGAATCAATTCTATGTCTTAACATCATTATATCAAATATTAAGAGAATCGTTTTGATTAAAATAAGAGAAGGCATTGGGATTCTTTCACTGTGATAAGCATTCATCATAACGATTTGACACATTTACGTTTAAATCATGATCGCCAATTAGCTAGTTGATGAACTGTCATTGTTCGTCCATATACTCGAATGAAATATCTTGCTTTTTGAGGCTTCTTCCCCCATGAATTTCCAGCTCATTTCAGTTTCCCAATGGAAAAAACTCTCAACAAAACAGTTTCCATTAACATCTTCATCTTAACTCTTTCACTGATTCTCATCAGCTCAATCATTTTAAGCTTTCTGAAAACGCCGCTGCCACTTCCCACTCTCCCCAGAAGCTCAGACAAGAATTGTAATGTTTTTAAGGGAAAATGAGTGCCTTACCCACAAGGTCCTCCTTATTACAGTAATGAAACTTGTGGGCTGATCATTGACCAGCAGAACTGCATGAAGTTTGGGAGACCAGACACAAAGTTCATGAAATGAAGATGGAAACCAGATGACTGTGAGTTGCCTCTGTTTGATGCAGCTCAGTTCTTGGAGTGTATATTTCAGGAAGCATATCCAGAGGATATAACTCACAATATTTCAGCAGAAAAAAAAACTACTTCCAGTGTTGGTTCTATGCTCATTACAACTTCACCTTAGCAGCATTTTGGTCACCATTTTTGGTTAAATCCGGAGCTGCAGAGATCAATGGTCTCATCAGCATTTACCTCGATGAAGCCGATGATGAATGGACAAACGAGATCGAGCAATTCGACTACGTGATCGTTTCAGTCGGACAATGGTTCTTCCGGCCACTGTTATTCTACTGGAGCAGTCAACTCATCGGATGTCATATATGTAACCAAAACAACGTTACAAGCATTTCCAAGTACTATGCATACAAGATGGCCTTCAGAACAGCTTTCAAAACTCTTCTGAGCCTTAAGAACTACACCTGCACCACGTTTTTACGGACGTTTTTGGCATCACATTTCGAGAACGGAGACTGGGATAAAGGAGGGAACTGCGGTAGAACGAGGCCTTTTACAGGTAATGAAATGAAGCTGCAAGAGTTCAACACGGAGTTTTACTGGGTTCAAGTTGAGGAACTGAGAAAAGCAGAGGAAGAAGGGAAGAAAATTGGGTTAAGGTTTGAAGTGATAAACGCCACTGAAATCATGTGGCAGAGACCAGATGGGCATCCAAATGGTTATGGACACTCCTTGCATAAGAATGCAACAGTGTATGATTGTGTTCATTGGTGTTTGCCAGGCCCAATTGACACATGAAAGAGTTTATGTTTTATTTGATGAAGAAGAAGAAGAAGAAGGAAGCCATTCCAAAGTTAAAAGCAAAGTTGACGAGAAATGTCTGATCAAAATTGTTCGAAAGTCTATGATGTATGTAAACGTTACACTATCAAAATTTATTATTTGTTGTTATTATATGAAGATGGAATCAATCACTAAAGAAAATAACATGATAAATATGGGAGAAAATGCAAACTTGGAAAAGATGCAATGTACAACAATGAGTTCTATCTATACAAAATTTCAGGTAAAACACAGTACTATATTACAATGGAAAAGAATACATCCTTTTTTCGTATGTGGAAAAGCATTGCAATATCAATTAGAGTAATCCGGATGATGTTCTTCAAAACGAAATCCTGATGAAAACCAAGATGTGTAAAGCTAAAATGTAGAGCACGAAAGCCGACCTGAGTAGCATGAGCCTCTGTTGATTCTCACTCCGGCCGCTAGTGTGGTAAGGAAGCTTGGGATGATAATCAGCAGAAAAGTCCGAGGAAGATCCTTTATCAGAAGAACCTCTTCTGAATCGATTCCGGGCAGCATTTGCCTCAGCATTACTACTTTCTAGCTTTGACCGTAAACCGCTCAGCCTCTCCAGTTCCTTCACTTTCGAATGAATTTCGCCAATAAGGTCTTCTGCTTGTGCCTAAAACAACATTTAAAATATTCCTGAAAATGACATCATAAAAGATGCTTATACCAACACCAGAAAAACATTTAAACAAAATATTATTTTCAGACAATGACAAAAACGAAAATGTTAACTTGATGGAAAATACGCATTACAGGAAAAGCACCTAACATCATCAATTGCAAAGAGAACGCCATTTAAAACAGTTTTTCCTTTTGGAAAATGACAATAGAGAAGTTAACTTCAATGGAGAACTATAAAGAGAGAGCTAAGCAGACCCGAACTTTTCAATTCCAAAGCACCTCAGGTTTTTCCCTCCATAACCAAAGCACCTCAGTTATGATAATGAATTTGAAGCAGCCGATTTGGGGTATATGATTGATGGCTGAAAGCTTGGAGTGAATTTCGGGAGTAACATTCTATGCATATAGTCCGATCCACTTTAAACTTATAGGATGAATTAAATAACTAACCTGCTTTGCAGCTAGTTGCTCAATTAGGCTGTGAAGCTGCTTGTCCAATGCTTTCTCTCTTTGAGCTGGATGACAGAAATTGATTAGTGAAAACCTATGTTACTCGAAGTTGTGCGTGAATGTCAGAGACGGATGTGTCTGACACATATGTTCAATTTTTTCTGTGTTTCTTTTCATGCATTTGGAGGTCCTTGAAAGATCATGTTCCATGCATGAACACAAGGACACCAGCAATATTTAACAACAAATTTAATGGAATGCTGAAACTAAGCAATGATTGAAAAACTGTCATGACACACCAAAGTAAAATATTATATCAGAGACATTTATAAACGAGAGGCCGTGAGGTCATAAAACAAGCACTAAAAGGTCTATGGTGGTACCTGGAGAAGGCTGCTTCGATGCTTTATTCTGAATATTTTCCCATTTATTATCTAAATCTTTAACTGTCTCTTCAATTGAGCTCTGAGAATATTAGGATATTTCATCAGCAAAATAAAAAGGAACAGCAGAAACTCAACTAAAGTAATTATTTGAGAGCATAAAAAATATACATAATACATAACATAAAATCAGAAGAGAAAAAAAATGGGCCAATTCTGTTTTCTTCTTCTCTAACTTGTCTAGCAAGGCAGATTTTTTTGAAGCTACAGCGGGTGGATTCATCTTCAACACTTACTGTGGACTCAACTAGTGTCCGCCAAGTTTTTAGAAAGGCTGGCGTCCAAGGCAGTCTCTGCATTTCCCAGTTCAGCTCTCAGATTTCTCTTGATTTCACCCATCTCCTATAAAAAATGCAAAGAAGATTCTAAAGATCTCATAAGAAAATAAACCGATGGAGGACTGAGATTTACTAGTAGAGGTATAAATATTTTAGGATTTCATATTAAATGGGTTTAATTGTAATTTTTATGTAGATTTGAGACATTTCAAACTATATTTTTTGTTATTTCCGGTATTCTTCATCTTATTGGAAATTTCAGAATTAGTTATAGGCAGATACCTATGTTATTCTAGCTTTAAGGGGGCTTGGAATTATAAATTATGATACTTTCTGGACATTAAGGTATGTGGTATTGATATTTGAGAATTTTAATTACTTTTAGTATGTGGTGTTTTCTTGTTGCAACGTCTCCTCTCGCAATTGGGCCTGATCATGAGAAGAGCCGAACAATTAGAGGGAAAAGGTAACTATTACCCATTGAGAAAAACAAAACGAAAAACAGTTCCATGGATCAAAACAAGCCAGAAAAACAAATAATTAGCCTCGACATCAGTAGTTGAGTGCTAAAAGAAATGGTATCGAATCAAAAAAAAAAAAAAAACAGTCCCAAGTGCAGCCTTTATTCAAAATTCTTCAATGTCTCAGCTCATGAGCTATCACCAAACTACACCGAATGCCAGAAAAAGATATGCTACAAAGCAGCATCAGCTCTGCCCAAATGAATTAACCAAAATTACCATAAAGAATGCATTGTACATAACCATTAGACCAAGTTCAGGAAAAATAAAAGAACAGATAAAGGGCACATATTTAGATGAGAACTTAAGAAACAAGATTATATTTAAACCCACCAAAAGGAAACCATAGAAAATTAGAAAAATGAACAGTTGAAACTGTCACACCCCGAATTTAATTTAAAATTTATTTAAATTATTTAATTTAATTACGGGACTAAATTAAATAATTCTAAAGATTTCTGAGTCAAATTCGAATATGTAAGAAGTACAAGGACTAGTCTCGTAGTTTACTCATAACTCACCTGTCACCAAAAATAAAAATAGGGTGGCTGGGGAGGTTTGAACCCGTGACCCGGGTTATAATACTCAAAAACCCCCAAATTTCTTTCCCTAAAATCCCTAAGTGTCGTAGCCCCTCTCCTTTCGGCCTCTGTTGCAATCGTTGTCTTTACCAGCGTGACTGGCGTCCTCCGACAACCCGTCCCCAATTGTCAGCGACCCTGATTCAACCGTCGTTCATCGCAAATTGGCGTCCAAGCGTGTGACGAGGGAACCCTTGCGTTGCTGCTGATCTTCCTCGATTCCGGTCGTTCCAGCTGCCTGCTCGCCTCACCGCCACCACCATTAAACTCGCCATCCCCGTTCGCTCAAATCCCAACAAAAGCAGTCGTCCACCACCTCCGTTTTCCTCGTTTTCCCCGTCGCTGCCGTCATGTGCCGTCGCATGCGCATGGGGCTCGTCCTCGCCCCAGAAACCTTCTAGAACGGTCCAGGTGGATCGAACCAACCCAACTCGGTTAGAACCGGGCCTGTTTGACCCGACTGAGTAAACTCGTACCGAATCGAGTCAACCCAAACCGGTATGACCCGTTAAATTTGACCTGACCATTGACCTGCCCGTTGACTTTGAGTTTGACCGTTGACTTTGATCAAAAGTCAAAATTTTCGAAAAGTCATATTTTTTGTTTATTGATGTCCTGAGTCAAAATCTGAAGTCTGTTTTGTCAAATTCGAACTCGAATGCCTCCGAATCGACCATTAAATCCTAATATGCATATGTAATTTAAGTATTTATTTTAGTACATCTAATTTAATTAAAGGGTCAAGGACTAATTTATGTTATCGTATATTTAAGGTACTCGTGGATCTCCTGACTGTTCGTCTGCTTGACCCAGTTCCTCTCGATCTGTCCGTCAACGCGATCCTGTGATTAGTCGTAAAGCTATGCAACCCTGTTAAATATTTAGTTTAGTATATTACTCCGTTTATAACCCTGTTCTGATATAACATAGGTTCGCGTACAGTCGAAGAGCGTAGTGAAACCAATGCTCAGTAGATCTCCCGGATTGATTCTTTTTGTGAGGTGTGTTCTTTGTGGGCTAAACTCACGAAATAATGTACTCAAAATAAATAATTCATGAAATAACGTTCTCCCAATATTATTTGCTGAAAGAGGGCGAAATCAACAGTGGCCGTAGGTCGCCATGCACTCCCAGCGACCTCCTAGGTCGCCATGTACGCCCGGCGACCAAGGAGGTCGCCATGCACTCGCGGTGACATCCCCTGCTGCATGCTCGCGACCTTGCCGGGACTCCATGGCGACCTACACATGCACGATCTCCCCATTCTTCCCATGCATGAACCGATCCTTGGTCGCCTCGAGTGCCCCATGCATGAACCGATCCTTGGTCATCCTTGGTCGCCTCGAGTGCCCCATGCATGAACCGAGCCCCAAGTGCATGGCACGATCTCCCCATGCATGAATCCTTGGTCGCCCCGAGTGCATGGCGACCTCCTTGGTCGCCGGGCGTGCATGGCGACCTAGGAGGTCGCTGGGAGTGCATGGCGACCTATGGTTGGGTTGTGCATGTCCCATGCACAGAAGCAAGCCACGTCGTAGGTCGCCCGGAAGGCATGGCGACCTACGGCCACACTGTTGATTTCGCCCTATTTCAGCAAATAATGTTGGGAGAACGTTATTTCGTGAATTATTTATTTTGAGTACATTATATCGTGAGTTTAGCCGTTCTTTGTGTGTCATATATCTGTTTTAAACATCTATTTGAAATATCAAGTAAACATGCTTATTTTCTCTGATTTGACTACCTCCAATGATTTATCTTATTTAAGTATGATTCCTGATTTCATGTATTTTAAATCATGCTTGCTTGACACATTATCTCTAGTTACTATTTTTACTGATAAATAAATATGTATGAACTCTTATTTCCTACTACCATTGGTTAATGTTAGAAAAATGTTTTTTTTCGGGGTACTCTGGGATCTGGCATGCAGTCTTTGCATATTCAGTTCTGATAAAGCTAGTAATTCCTTATATAAGTTCAACACCGATCAACTGATAATTCTTTATGGACCTAAGGTGATCCTTGGGTGAGCTCCTAGGCCCAATGAGCCTAGTGACACCTCTGCTATGTTCATTGGGTAAGTCCTTATGGGCTTGAGGGCACACCCCTCAGGTGGGCACCTACGCTTCGACTAGGGTAAGACCTTGTGAACCCAAGGTACTCCCTTAGGTTGGCATCTACGCCCTTTGGGCATAGGGTAAGTCCTTATAGATGTAGTTTTAGGGAATTACATATGGTTTACAGTTGGAGGGTGATGTTGTATTTTAAGCCAAAAACACTACTGACGTTTTCATAACTTAAACTGAACTAATTTGGAAACTTAATTGTATGTTTTATTTATGCATTGTTAGAACACACTGAGCTTCCTAGCTCACTCCCTCAAACTTTTTTTTCCTTTCAGATACTTTTTAATAGGCGACTCGGACCTGACACTTAGAGGATCAACACATTCGCACAATTCCATTTTGTTGTAATGTATTTATTTTTCGAGCTGCATTTATTTTGGGTGACGTGCCTATATTTCGAAAATACTTTTTGCTATTTATACTGCTTTTGCAACTGCTGTCAGATTTGCTTTGACACTAAGATGTATTAGCAGAACATCAGAACAAATAATAGGAAGCTATAGAATTTGCAGAACATTAGAAAAGCTAAGCAAAAGATATAAAATTCTCTACAAATAAGCAGTAGTGTTAAATAATTCCCAGAAACACAAACAAAAACATTATTGTTAGTCTAAAAATTAGAGATTAAACCAAAAAACAATGTCTGTCACTGATCTTGAAAGTGTTCCTTTGCCATGTTTTTCAAGGTACAATCACAAATAGAGGCTGCAAATTTCAGAAATATAAAGGAGACTTCAGAAAAAATATAATGAAAGAAAAATATATTAGAGACTTGGTAGAGAAAACAGGGTTTCACCATGTCTACACTAACTGGTTTCCCATCCTCTGCCAGTATCTCAGTTATGGTTCCGGATTGGTCCGCCTGATTCAAAACCAAATTATGAATCGAAAATGAATATGAAGCTATTCGAGAAGAAAGGGTTCAAGTCAATGAAGAACCATTCATTTTTAATATATGAACAATAAACAAGGAAAATTTATTTTAGCAATATTCTCGCATTGTCGGAGCGCTAAATTAAGCAAGAAGGAAAGAGTATGAACATACTTCGATTTCATTCATCAGTTTCATTGCCTCAATGATGCAGATAACTTGACCCTTCTGTACTTTATCACCCACCTAAAAAAACAGGAACAACCCCATTTGAATGAATATCTGATTATCATTCAAGGAAAAATTCGATTAAGATGCAAGCAAGCTACAAGCACTTACCTTGACAAATGGTGGTTCACCTGGTGCTGGACTCCTGTACAAGGTTCCAGCCATGGGGCATTTGAGGGGAGCATGGGATGAATTGCCCGTTTTAGCAGGGGGAGCAGAGGGCGGTGCTAGTGCAGGAGGGGCAGGGTTTGAAGGAGCCGGAGCAGCTGCTGGGGCTGCTGCCGGGGGTGGAGTTTGAAATATCGCGTGATGCATATATTGCGGCATGAAAACAGGGGACGCTGGTTCCGGTGGCTGCAAAGCTTCCTTCTTTCTTATTACAAGCTCACAATCAGATTGCTTCAGTTGCAACTCCGTAATATCTCTCGAATCAACAAGTCTACTCATGAAACATAACACCAACATCGATTACTGATCCTTTGTGAAACATAACCTAAAGATAAAGAAGATGCTTCAACTTACTTAACAAGGTCCGAAACTTGTGTCATGAATGTCAAGATTGTGGCAACATCCGGTATCGTCTTCTTGGCAGATTTGCCATCTTCCTTTGGCAATGCAGCTTTATGCTTCTTGTCAACTACCGGTACAGAATTCGATGATTTCTCTGCAGCAACCTTAAAGTTTCCAAAGTTCATTTAGTAGAACATCAATATAATCTCATTTAAGGCAAAATTATAACTTCGACATGAAAAAACACACCTCCTTAAGCTTCACGTGCGTTCTGAAGGTCGTAGTTTTCTTCCCATTATCCAACTGCAAATCATAGCCAGGTCAAGAAACAATACAAGCAAGTGTAAACATTTATGAAGATGAACAATTTTGTCTCTGCATATCACCAAGCTGTCAAATCAATGAATACGAACCCGGCATCCCACTCATGCATAAATGATTTTCATATTAGGGATCGCAAATCTAGTAACAAGTATGTGTTATAGAAACCTTCAATTATCAACCATGTTGATGAAACTGGAGTGTGAATGTAACATACGGGCAAGAATTTAAAGGAATTTAAATTGCGGACCGCTATGTAAATCCCTGGGCACAGGTACGTTGCTTACTCGACAATGCTTTCATAGAGCTAGAAACAATGGTTTCCAAAATTAAATCACAAATTAAGCACTTAAAACCCAAAATGATAAGCAATCCATTCATTCTAATTAAAATTAAACACTTGAAACCCAAAATGATAAGCAATACATTCATTCTAATTAAAATTAAGTAAAAGAAGGATCTCCAGCTACAATCATTAACCCATATAATAAAAAACCCACCAACCTAAACCCCATAATTTTCCGAACAGAACAGAAGTTTCAACTTTAAATGACCAAATTAAAAGGGAAAAAAAAAGAGAAAAGAAAGTAACTTGCAATCCAGAAAATGCAGGCACTTGGATTGAAGATCCTACTGAGAGGCAAGATTTGGAGGTAGAATTTGAACAACATTGAGGAAGAGTAGAAGAGATGTTTGGATAATGGGTTTGTTGCAGCTTTGGTTTCGCAAAAGAAGAGATCTTGGGGCATGGAACTGAGATTGAAAATGTCATTTTTAATGAGTTTTAAAGCAAACCCAGAGCTACTTTTAGGTTTATATATATAAACAAACACAAGAAAGGAAGAAGGAAAACAAGTGTCGGCAATGAGATTTAAGAGAAATCTTCGGGCAAACAAAAGAAAACCCAAAATAGGTTTAAATGCGAAGAATTATAAGAGAGAGTTTTTCAATTTTTTTTAAATTCGATAGTTACGATGAACACTGTTTCATGGTCTTAACTAACCTCAACTACTCAACGCCTCCCCTGCTTCCTTTCTTTCTCTTTTTCTAAATAATTTCCGATTTTCATGAATATAAGTTTAGATTTTTTTAATTATAATTTCTTCATTCTTAATTCTTTTAGGGTAAAATACACAAATAGTCCCTAATTATAAGATACTACTTTGTTAAATCCCTTAACTATTAAAAGTTACAAAATGATCCCCGATTATATGGAGTTATTTTGTTGAATCCCTCGATTATTAAAAAGTTACAAGTTACAAAATGATTATCCAACTATTCATTATATTTTAAACTAGACCTTTTTAATTAAAAATTAACACCAATCTGAATTTGATATTAACTTAATAACTAAGATATGATAAAATATAATCTTAAATGATTATCATGTTAACATTCATCTTAGACGGTCGTTATTTTTTCAACAAAAAAAGAAAAATTTAAAACATAATGAATAGTCGGATGATCATTTTATAACTTTTGAAAGACCCAATAAAACAACTCTCTATGATCAAGAGACTATTTTATTATTTCTAATAATCGATGTACTTTACCCATTCTTTTATTAGTATAGTACGTAGTTAAAATCTTGTGCATTGTAATGCTTTTCTCCAATTTGCAAAAGATCCCTAAATCAATAGGAGTGTTGAAACGATCCGTCCGGTTAATCGTTCTCCAATCGAACAGTTAACCGATTATTTGCATCATCTGAAACTCAGACATAGAAGTAGTTGAACAATTATTCTGAATGAAAAAGGTGTCCAACTGCCACCAAATATTCTCAGCAAACATAAACGGCATTTAGAGCTAATATCCAAATCCACAAATACAACGAACTAGGTTGCAAGCATCATATACGAGTATGCATCCAATACCGATGTACTCGGTTTTTTTGTATATCATACACGAATGTGTGAGACACAGGTACTTCAAACAAAATAAAGTCGGTTTTCGAGCAAAGAAATTTCTTGTGGTTCTCGGAAGACAGCCATGCTTATTAAAGAACCAAGGAGACGACAGAATGAATGGAAATGTTACCCTGGGTTGTTTCTCAAAAACTTAGCTTGTACAAAAGTGCCAAAATGTATTTTGTGGTTGCCCAAGAAAAAGCTAAACAATCTAATAACGGTTCCAGTACGTCCGGCGTCTGAACCAGTTGTAGTCGGGCAAACCCTGGATAGGGCCCATGGCAGCAATTGCGATATCCTGCGAAAACCAAACATGTACAGCATTAAAAACATTACTTTGTCCATTTCAATGTCTCATCTCAACAAAATTTATAATCTTCACCCCATTTCAGTCAAAGTAGAAAGTGTAGATAAGTCCTAGGTTTGGTAGCAGTTCCTACCCTGTCATAAATAAATCGGTTTGCCACACGTTTAATGGTACTTGGGTCAACAGCATCAATCCTAGCAAATAATTCAGCAAACGGGATTCTCCGACCGTATGTGAGTAGCTGCAAGAATGGGAGGTCAAGGCCAAATAAGATAAATATAAGAAATAAACAAGGTTCGTGAATGTCTAGCCACGCAAATTTAAGATCACGCAATTCTTCATGGGCAATAGACTTTTTGTTTCTGGTAAATTTGGATTTCTCCTAGGATCATTTAAAACTTTATTTGGTTTAAAACGGCAGATGTACTGATTCAAATGATATGATTGCTAGAATTCCATGCACCATTGGAATTAAAAACCCTTTTCTAATGCCCGAAAAAAAAAACAGTACCTGGCGTCCAATATCTTCAGCTACAGGACTAGTTCCATCTATGTGAAGCAACAAAGATGATTTCAACTGCAACAAAAAAAACAGCAGCAGTAGTTAAGCAGACAAAAATTACAGTTAATGTGGCTTTTTAAAAACTGAAACAAAATCAAAGCATATTTTGCCTGTTTGGCATGGTGCAGCACTATTAAAAAATAATAAGAATATGGGAAATATCAATTTCTATTTTCTACATTATTTTATTTGTAGTAATATTAAAATAAAGTATTTATTAATGTAATATTAAATAAAAAATTAGAAAATAGTTTTTGATCGGGTTTAAATAATTAAGATTTTTTAACTCATGAACTAAAACCAAATTGTATATTTAATTATTACCAGAGCCAAAATGTATCAGCTAGGGCAGGAATAGTAGAAATGTTTTAGCAACAAACAAAGAAAATTTTGTTCAATTGAGTAAAGCTTCTCTAGAATTGCACAATAAAATAAATACTTGAAAATAAAATATCATGAAATGTTTCAAACAAAACCTAAAAAATGCCAATGAGGACTTGGGCTAATGGCAAATGGACGCCCTGAAAACCGAATCCTAGGTTCAAGTTCCACCACATGTCGGATCTCTCCAGACTTATTCTGGTCTTAGTCCAGATATATTCTGGTTATAAGCCTGACAGTTCATTATATGATTGATTATGATCGTAGTTATTTAGATTCTATTGATTGTGATTGAGATTATAATTGTAAATTCTTTGACTTCTTGAAACTGCACTCACTGGAGAATTAGACTAGGCTTATTTTATCAACTTAGAATGCCAAAATCACCTGTTTCCAACTGGAATCTTCAATTGACACACTGCTAGAAGCATTCAAAATGATGCAATATGTCAAATAAAAAACTAGTATCTATCAAACACTAAGAAAAGATAGAAGCATTTGTAGCTACCTGATTACGAGCACGAATGACATCAGCTTCTGAAACACGATAAGCTAGCTTGGTTGTCTCGTACATGATAGCATATGCCAAATCATCCAAACAATCAGGCTGAAAATCAAAAATAAAATTAATATCCCAAACTAAATGAAAAAAAAATACAACAGCATATACCCAACTGGCTTACACATGCCAAACAATTTGTTAAACCCCTATTTTACTCTGACACATGCGTAAGCGTTAATTATTAACATGTGCATGACCAACATTTTGGGATATCATATCCCCACACCCATATCTCAGACTCTGGAGTGAGTGTCTGTTACAGGTACAAGTACTGCCATTTTTTTTGGAAGACCAAATCCCTGACCCATATCTGAAAATGTGTAGGGCATAAAAGGAGATAGGAAAAGACAGCAACAATATAAGATGTTAAGGCCTCGAGAAGATGAATTAAAAATATCAAGATGATATCAAAGAATATGACGATCTTTTATCTGAAAACAGTCGATAAAATTTGTATGAATTGATATTTTTATCATAATTTTTATTTCAGCCATAACAAAATATTACAATAAAAACCTCACCTTGGCAACGGCATAGACACCGAAAAGACCGGTATCTTTATAGTTGGTGTTGAAGGCCATCATGCTTTCTGCAACTTCATTAATGCAGACTCTTTGTGCAAGCTCAGAGCTGTTTAAAGGATTCCAAAACTAATCAAGACAATAATATGTTTGGGTTTCATCGTGAAACTGAAACAGGTATAGACTAAAATGCGATTCAAAATTTAACATAAGAATAAAGCTCACCCCATGTGCTTTCCACCACCAGCATTTTTGCTCCATGAACCCAACATTGACTGCATAACCATTAGCGCAATAGAATCTGGATCTGTCCAAGATGCTCCCTCAAAAGCAACAGCAAATTGTGCCAGAGGAACATCATCGTTGATCATTCTAACCTGATTTTTTTTAATTAAGAAGAAAAATAAAAATAAAACATTAGAGGGCATAGCACATTGAGAGTGAATGTTGCAGAATAAAACAGTTCAAAAGTTACTAAAGGAATGACAACCCCACCTCAGAACCAGTAAAACTGGCTGGTTCATTCATAACTAACTGTGAACCAGTAGTTGGATCAGATGACAACTTGGTAAACAACTTTTTTACTTGCTCAACCATTTCCTCATGCTTAACAGCCCCCGATGCAGCAATGACCTGTAATGGTTACCAAATAACACATTTTGAAGCACCTGATCACGCTGTACTAAATGAAGATAGGCAAGAAAAGCTGACTAATCCACTGCATACCATTCTTGGAGCAGTATAGTGTGTCTGAATATAGTTCTGCAGATGCTCTTTGGTGATTGTCCTAATATTATCGGCAGGGCCCAGAATAGTTCTACCAAGAGGAGTGTACTGGAATGCAGTTGAATGCAAATGGTCGAAAATGACCTCCCCTGTTTGACCCTCAACCTACCAAAATTTCCCAAATGATTGATTTTCTTATTAATCAACATAGAACCAAAAACAAGTGCAGTTGATAACACCAAGGCAACATTCCCACAAAGAAATAAACTTTTACTAAGAAATCAGAACTACCTTGTATTAAAAACATTTTAACCGTAAAAAATCTCACCTATTTGTTAATGGCATCAATCTAAACCTTTTGCTCCTCCATTAATTTCACATTCTTTTCCATGCTACACCAACACACCAACCAAGCACAAAAACAATCATATTATCTATGTTCCCTAAATATAGGTAGTTAACTTGTAATCAACCTAGAAAAACATTAATACTATATCAAAATCCTGACCACCAAAAAATTTACCTCCCAACAATTCCACCTACCTGGCTACCTCCTATGTTCGCTAAAAAACTAGATTTTTTACATAACAAAACCAATCACTCAATCAAGCACACATCAACCAAAACCCAAATTTTATTTACTGCTGTCTCAAAATCACTTCCTTCTATTTTCCTCAAATTTTTAATTTAAATTTCCTAAAGATCATAAAAAAATATATCTACATTTTTAGATCGAACCCATTAATCTAATAACTTATTCGGCGACTGCATACCAAGGAAAGACAAATACCCCAAAATCTACTCCCTTCTATAATCCTTAG